CGCCCTCCCTCCTAGATTGTAAACTCCCAGGATCAGCCCCTCCCTCCTAGATTGTAAACTCCCAGGATCAGGGCCCTCCCTCTTAAGATTGTAAGCTCCCAGGATCAGGGCCCTCCCTCTTAGATTGTAAGCTCCCAGGATCATCCCTCCCTCTTAGATTGTAAGCTCCCAGGATCAGGGCCCTCCTATCCCTCTTGTATTGATCTGTATTGGTCTCCCGTTATATTTGTACAGCGCTGAGCACACTGTGTGGCGCCATAAATCCTGTTATAATAATAATCTGGAAACAGGTACACTTGATCCCATCACCACATCCCTCGTGAAGATGCAAAATGAAGAAAACAATATATTTATGTGTCACTTCAGGTCCCCTCAGGAAAATACGCTCACACACAAAAAAAGTGTTCTTTTTCATAAAGTCCCATTATGTTTTTATTCCAAAAGTGTACAAATCAGAGATTACCCCAATAAAATCAATTTACAAAGTAAAAAACCGATGAAACAATGATACAGTGAGCCCCAATGCATCTTCCTAAATCAGAAACAGGATATGACATCATCTAATAGATACGGAACATCGCTGACAATCAAAGTTAGGAAGGTGTCGTACCCCAACGCGTTTCGTCTGATTGGCTTCTTCAAGGGTTCAAAAAAAAAAAAAAAAAAAAAGAATAATTAAATACAAAAAAAACCTCTTAAAGTACATTTGAAAAACATTCAACCAAGTTCCATATACAATGTATTGGTGTTGTTTGTGCTGCCCCGCCCCCCCCTTGTACAGCCGCATATTCTGGATGACCCTCAGTACGGGTATAGAAAGCAATGGTTGCTGAATCGTGCACATTGTAATCTTTGTGTGTGCGGCGGGGGGTATTTACATTTTCTGCTGCCCTAAAACCACAAAAATTTTGCGCCCTCCTAGACCCAATGAGAGACGACCGAGAGAGTCAATAAGTGTGTATATGATTCTTTTCTCTCCCTTTCTTTCTTCTCTTCTCCCCCCCCCCTCTCTCTTCCCCCTCTCTATATAATCTCCCCCGCCTCTCTATTCTCCCCCCCCCCTCTCTCTACTCTCTCTCTTCCCCCCTCACCCCCCCTTGCTCTCTCTCTTCCCCCTCTCCTCGTATTCTCCCCCCCTCTCTCTAGTCTCTCTTCCCCCCTCTCTCTATTCTCTCTCTTCCCTCTCTCTCTATTCTCTCCCCCCCCCATCTCTGCTATTCTCTCTTCCGCTTCCATCTCTCTCTATTCCCCCCCCCCTCTCTCTATTCTCTCTCTTCCCCCTCTCCCCCCCCCCTTGCTCTCCCCCCCCCATCTCTCTAATTCTCTCTCTTACATCTCTCTCTATTCTCTCTCTCTTCCCTCTCTCTCTATTCTCTCTCTTCCTCTCTCTCTATTCTCCCCCCCCCTCTCTCTATTCTCTCTCTTCCCTCTCTATTTTCCAATCTCCCCCCTCTCTCTATTCTCTCTCTTCCATCTCTCTTTATTCTCCCCCCCTCTCTATTTTCTCTATCTTCCCCCCCTCTCACTCGTCCTTCCCCCCCCCCCCTCTCTATTCTCTCCCCCCCTCTCTCTATTTTCTATAATCCTCCCCCTCTCCCCCCCCCTCTCTCTCTCTTCCTTTCTCTATCTCCCCCTCTCTCTATTCCCTCTCTTCCCCCCCCCCCTCTATTCTCTCTTCCCTCTTTCTCTATTCTCTCTACATTCTCCCCCCCCCCACCTCTCTCTCTTCCCCTCTCTATCTCCCCCCTCTCTTCCTTTCTCTCTCCCCCCCTTCTCTCCTCCTTTCTCTCTCTCTTCCCTCTCCTTTCTCTCTCTCTTTCCCTCTCCTTTCTCTCTATCTCTTCCCTCTCCTTTCTCTCTCTTTTCCCTCTCTCTTCCCTCTCCTTTCTCTCTCTCTTTCCTCTCTTCATGCAAAACACACACCTGCACCAAGGGGCTGCTGATCTCCGGGTAGCAGGAAGGGTGGGTGGGGGGGGGGGGGGGGGGGGGGGGAGGTGTGTGCAGCCCCATACGATCTGTCAGTGCCGGGATGGAGGCAGGGAGATCCCACAGAACACAGCACAGCTCACCTCCTCCGGGCTCTTCTCTCCCTGCTCCAGGCTGTCCCCTGGTCCCGGCTCGTCAGCTGCTGGAGGGAGAGGTACAGGACCATCGCTGTGCAACTGCCCTCCCCCACATCGATCCTCCTCCACTGAAAGAGTACCAAAGGTACCCCTCTGATGGCGGCCCTGCATGGCTCTGTCCGCCGCTGCTCACAAGGTCCCTACTTCCAGGGGCGGTGCCGCGCCCCCTAAAAATTGCCGCCCTAGGCAAACGCCTTGCTTGCCTCGCGGTAGATACGCCCATTTGTGTGACGTCCTCGGTCACACTGGACGCGTGGCATGTAAATCACATGCCACGTTGCACCCTATTACAGCGGTCATATCGGTGCGGTTCCGACGGTTCCATTTCTAATGTAGTCCATGCGTTACTCTTGGTGCGATTTGTATAGATATCTCTGTCAGAGGTCTTGCAAATCGCACCTGAAATCGGCATTTCCCCCGACTTTCTGTAAGTCGCACGATTTCACAGTTGGGTCTGGTGTGACTGAGGTGTAAATTGTATATGGAACTTGGTTGGTTTTCTAATGTACTTTATGAGTTTTTTTGTGTGTTCACATTGTTCCCTCTCTGAAGAAGCCAATCTGACGAAAACGCGTTAGGGTACAACACCTTCCTAACGTTGATTTTCAGTGGTGCGCTGTATCGATTACATGATGTCATATCCTGTTTCGGATTTAGGAAGATGCATTGGGGCTCACTGTACTGAAGGTTCCATCTGGTATTCTTTGTAAATTGATTTTATGGGGTAATCTCTGATTTGTACACTTTGGAGGAAAACATAATGGAGTTTATGAAGAAGAAGACTTTGTGTGCGTATTCTGCGGGTGAGAAGAGCAGCTGAACCGTCCCGTACATATATTGTTCTCTTCAATGTACAGAGAAGAGAACTATTCCTCGGGCTGCTCACCTGAATACGCTCTGCGATCCGGATCACTCTCCTCAGCGGCCTGGAATAAAATGATCGCAGATATTAATTGCAGTGCTGGAGGAAAACGAACTTTGGCATCATACCTCATAGTATACAATTCTCTTCTATTTAACCACCTCCCGTCCGGCCATTGTATATAAACGGCCGGACGGTGGCATATACACACACACACACACACGTGGTTGTGCACATCCGGGTAGGGGGGCGCGCACTGCCCTACCCTCACCGCCATTGGTGGCTACAGCTGTCAATCACTGGGTCCCGGCTGGAGATTCCCCGCTGGCACCCGGAGATCATGAAAGAACACTGACAGGGGAGAGGTCTGTGTGAAAACAACACAGGTCTCTCCCCTTTCAGCGAGGATATGCTGCTTTGTATCTCTGCACAGCATGTCTCCCGAGTACACAGCACACAGGTAACCCTTTGATGGCCCCAGATGTTAACCCCTTCCTGTCCAGTGCCATTAGTACTGGTGTCAGGGCCAGGGGCGGACTGACAACTCATGGGGCCCCCGGGCAATAGGGGATCATGGGGCCCCTGTGTCCTTGCCAAAACTCAAAAAAGCCTATGAAAAAGGTACCAGGGGCATCTCATGGGGACCTCTACTGACCCCGGGCCCTCAGGGCTTTTTATTAGCACTGATCACTGTATTGGTGTCACTGGGGATGTCGGTGGCAGTTAGTCAGTTCCCCCCCCCCCCCCCCCCAGTGTCAGAATGCCCTCCGCAGTCCCGCTACAAGTCGCAGATCGCCGCCATTACTAGTATAAAAAAAAAAATGTAAATCCCCGTATCTATCCCGCCATTTGTAGACGCTATAACTTTCACGTAAACCAATTAATTTACACGTATCGGGATTTTGGGGGTTTTTTTTTTAGCGAAGACACGGAGCGGGAGACATTTTGGCCGAAATTTAGGACGAAATTTGATTTTTTACATTTTTTTTAAATCGACATGTTTAATAGCAAAAAGTCAAAAGTATTGGGTTTTTTTTTTTTTTTTCAAAATTGTCGGTCTTTTTTTGTTTATAGCGCAAAAAAATAAAAAACGCACAAATGATCAAATGCCACCGAAGGAAAGCTCAATTTGTGGGGGGGAAAAAAAGGTGTGAATTTCATTTGGGTGCGGCGTTGCATGACCACACAATTGCCAGTTAAAATAACGCAGTGCTGTATTGCAAAAAATGGCGTGGGTCAGGAAGGGGGGGGGGGGGGATCCTCTGGAGGGGTTAATAAATGCCCAATTATGGCCACTAGATGACGCTAACGATCAGACAAGGTTCTGTTGACTTCGCTGTGCAGACGTGTGGGACCCCTCTCACCCCGGGACTTCCCTCTCTCCATCCCCCCCGGACTATGCCGAATTTCTTCAGTGACTTCCTGGTTTCTGGCCTACGCCACAATGATGCAAATCGAAACAAAAACGAGAAGCGCACCAACCTTGCGCATTACCTCAGTAACCAAAGTTTATTAATTATATAGTCAGGAACCAGAATCAGGAGAGCAATCAGAGTCAGGTGAGGAACAAGCCGGGTCAGCAACAAAGGAATCACACAGGAACAAGCAGGACAAGGGGGAGCTGAAGACCAGTCAGCACTGAACATGAGCAGAGACACTCCTTAAATAGGCCGTCTGGCTCCAATCTTCGCCGTGCGCTTGCGTGATCGCGCATTTCCGATCACCATTCATCTTGCCGGAAATCCCTTACAAGGGGGCGGAACCAAGGGGTGGTGTTCGGAGGTGGGTAGGGGGCAGAACCAAGGGGTGGTGCTCGGAGGTGGGTAGGGGGCAGAACCAAGGGGTGGTGCTCGGAGGTGGGTAGGGGGCAGAACCAAGGGGTGGTGCTCGGAGGTGGGTAGGGGGCGGAACCAAGGGGTGGTACTCGGAGGTTGTGGGTAGGGGGCGGAACCAAGGGGTGGTGCTCAGGAGTGGGTAGGGGGCGGAACCAAGGGGTGGTGCTCGGAAGTGGGTAGGGGGCGGAACCAAGGGGTGGTGCTCAGGAGTGGGTAGGGGGCGGAACCAAGGGGTGGTGTTCGGAGGTGGGTAGGGGGCAGAACCAAGGGGTGGTGTTCGGAGGTAGGTAGGGGGCAGAACCAAGGGGTGGTGCTCGGAGGTGGGTAGGGGGCAGAACCAAGGGGTGGTGTTCGGAGGTGGGTAGGGGGCAGAACCAAGGGGTGGTGCTCGGAGGTGGGTAGGGGGCAGAACCAAGGGGTGGTGTTCGGAGGTGGGTAGGGGGCAGAACCAAGGGGTGGTGTTCGGAGGTGGGTAGGGGGCAGAACCAAGGGGTGGTGTTCGGAGGTGGGTAGGGGGCAGAACCAAGGGTGGTGCTCGGAGGTGGGTAGGGGGCGGAACCAAGGGGTGGTGTTCAGAGGTGGGTAGGGGGCAGAACCAAGGGGTGGTGTTCGGAGGTGGGTAGGGGGCAGAACCAAGGGGTGGTGCTCGGAGGTGGGTAGGGGGCGGAACCAAGGGGTGGTGTTCGGAGGTGGGTAGGGCGGAACCAAGGGGTGGAGCTCGGAGGTGGGTAGGGGGCGAAACCAAGGGATGGTGCTCAGAGGTGGGTAGGGGGCGAAACCAAGGGGTGGTGCTCAGGAGTGGGTAGGGGGCGGAACCAAGGGGTGGTGCTCGGGAGTGGGTAGGGGGCGGAACCAAGGGGTGGTGTTCGGAGGCGGGTAGGGGGTGGGACAAAGGGATGGTGTTCAGAGGCGGGTAGGAGGTCGAACCAAGGGACGGTGCTCAGGGGTGGGTAGGGGCGGAACCAAGCGGTAGTGGCTCAGAGGTAGGTAGGGGGCATAGCCAAAGTATGGTGTTTGGAGGTGGGTAGGGGATGGAACCAAGGAACAGTGTGTGGGAGTGGGTAGGGGGCGGAACCAAGGGACAGTGCGCAGGGGTGGGTAGGGGGCGGAACCAAGGAATGGTGTTCGGAGGTGGGTAGGGGGCGGAACCAAGGAATGGTGTTCGGAGGTGGGTAGGGGGCGGAACCAAGGAATGGTGTTCGGAGGTGGGTAGGGGGCGAAAACAAGGGATGGTGTTTGGAGGTGGGTAGGGGTGGAGACAAGGTGTGACTCAGAAATAAAGCCCTGCCAGGAATTAAAAGCTCCATGAATCATCTGCCCTTACTCAAGATGGCCGCAGCTAGAAATGCTAGGGGGGTATTTTTCAACAGAATAAATCATGCCAGAAATCCTGCGTGCTGCTAGTTTCCTGTTTGGACTGACAACACAGAGCTTCTGCTGCACTGAAATCCCTAAGTACTGTTGTCAGACCTCCTCTGCTGGACTACAGAACCCCTCCTATTCCTGCCCCTCCCCCTATACACAGATTTAGATTTTTTTGTTGCCACTTTGAATCCCAAGAGCTGCTCTCGGGAGACATAGTTCTGGGGGAGACATCTGACCTCCCAGCGGTGGCCCCTGCAAAGACTTCACAAGCGCGGTGATGATGTCACTGAGGATATAAAGCTGGTATTTGCTACAGGAAGAAGGAGAAGTCCCGGGACATGATGTAGAGGGGGAAGGGTGGGGGGAGGGGTAGGTTTGGGTCATACACTTCAAATGGGGCGACGGTATATGGGGTTGGAGGGACAAGAAGCATCAAGGAGATATTCATCAGTACCCACCAGTCTCCTCCAGGGCAGGTCACGTTTATGGTGGTCATACCAGGCCAGGAGGTCCTTCCGGAGGGACTCTGCTTCTGGATGGGTGAAGGAGTGATATGGAGGGATCGTGTCTGTGGAGACTGCAAAGAGAACAAACATCAAGTCAGATAAAGCTCCGCCCCATTTCCTGCCTGGAGGACGTCCAGCATCATTTCTCTCTTTTCTCTCCCAGCCTGCCCCTTTAATTCACATGTGGGCGTTACCTAGGGTGGTCTGCATGCAACTACAGCCCTGCCTAGGAAGACCCACTTCTCCAATGACATGAAGGCATTTTCATATTTGCATAACTCCTCCCAGGGGATAGCTCACAGTTTGCATGAGTCCAATCATGGAGAGTCAGCATCATGTGGGCCTGGCCTATGCAAATGAAGCCTGCCTAGGAACGCCCACTCCTTTTAAACTAACACCCGACAATCAAGGCATTCTGATATTTGCATAACTCCTCCCAAGAGCCACTGTCTCTTAAGAGGAGTCCCGAAGCAGGGTGCTGTGATGTTTTCAGGAAGCTTTGTACACCCCCTCCCATCGGCCATGATCTGCCTGCATTGCATAGAGAAGCGCAGAGACCAAAATTGTACAGTTGTAAGAAACTGAATGGAGTTCTCCCCGATGGGACGCGGCATCCTACCTGACTTGTTGGTTGGGGGTTTCTGCACTTTCTTCGAGGAATGTCTGACCACCGATCGCCCCATTGCTGGAGGAAAAAACACGACATTTCATTACAGACAGACCAGAGATAAAGCGGTGACTACACATTAGATTGTAATCTCCTCGGATCAGGCCCCTCCTCCCACATTAGATTGTAATCTCCCAGGATCAGGCCCCTCCCCCCATTAGATTGTAATCTCCCAGGAGCAGGCCCCTCCCCCCCATCAGAGTGTAAACTCCCAGGATCAGGCCCCCCCCCCATTAGATTGTAATCTCCCAGGATCAGGCCCCTCCCCCCCATCAGAGTGTAAACTCCCAGGATCAGGCCCCTCCCCCCCATCAGAGTGTAAACTCCCAGGATCAGGCCCCTCCCCCCCATCAGAGTGTAAACCCCAGGATCAGACTCCTCCCCCCATTAGATTGTAAGCTCCTGGGATCAGACCCCTCCCCCCTATTCTATTGTAAGCTCCCAGGATCAGACCCCTCCCTCCCATTAGATTGTAAGCTCTATGGATCAGGCCCCTCCCCCCCACTAGATTGTAAACTCCCCGGATCAGACCCCTCCCCCCATTAGATTGTAAGCTCCCAGGATCAGGCATTCCGCGGAGACAAGACGCGACTACTTCACAGAGACAACGCAGCGAGTACACATTAGATTGTAAGCTCCTGGGATCAGACCCCTCCCCCCCATTAGATTATAAACTCCCAGGATCAGGCCCCTCCTCCCTATTAGATTGTAAACTCCTGGGATCAGACTCCTCCCCCCCATTAGATTGTAAGCTCCTGGGATCAGACCCCTCCCCATTAGATTGTAAGCTCCCAGGATCAGGCACTCCGTAGAGACAACACGGCGACAACTCCGCAGAGAGAACACGGCGACTACACATTAGATTGTAAACTCCCAGGATCAGGCCCCTCCCCCCCATTAGATTGTAAACTCCCAGGATCAGGCCCCTCCCCCCCATCAGATTGTAAACTCACAGGATCAGGCCCCTCCCCCCCATTAGATTGTAAGCTCCCAGGATCAGGCCCTCCACCCCATTAGCTTGTATGCTCCAAGGATCAGGCCCTCCCCCCACATTAGATTGTAAGCTCCCAGGATCAAGCCCCTCCCCCCCCATTAGATTGTAAGCTCCAAGGATCAGGCCTCTCCCCCCATTAGATTGTAAACTCCCAGGATCAGTCCCCTCCCCCCATCATCTTGTATCATTTTCTACTCCCAAATCAGACTCCTCCGATATCCCCCTCCCTCTCTGAGGACATGTGGTCTGATATCCCCCTCCCTCTCTGAGGACATGTGGTCTGTTTGATGCAGAGATCACAGGCATCAAGGCCCGGCGGGGGAGCTCATGACTATAAACCCCAATTAGCCTGACCCCCAGATGTCTGCGAGACTCTGCTTGGAGAAGGATCATAAAACCATAAACCAAGTCCTTCACTGAGCTCAAGGACATTCCAGGTAGTCGTAAAACGGACTCACATTTAAACCTCCCCCTTTCCCCGATGATTACATATCTTGGACTATGAAAGACGTACATAAAATCCAGGTATATATTCAGATCGGTCTCGTTAATACAAGTCGTCTGATATATTACACCCCCGAGCTGGCATCAACAGAGCAGAAAATATCTCCTTAACCATCCCAGCAGGTATGTCATATTTCATATCTAGACGTTCAGCAGGTGATTCTGCGTATTAATCTACTAGTGGCTAGGCGGCTACATGCACCGAGGGTAAGTTATGAACCACAACATCAACACCCCTCCCCAAATTAGGCGATTGGTTCTCTGCTTTAAGGAGACACCCTGCTGAGTTCCTAGAAAAGGCTACCGTATTTTCCGGCGTATAAGACGACTGGGCGTATAAGACGACCCCCTACTTTTCCTGTTAAAATATAGGGTTTGAGCTATACTCGCCGTATAAGACTACCCCTCTTCCAACGCACACCAAATAAAAATGAAAAAACATCAGATTTGATTTCAATATGGTATTCCAATGATGGGGCGCTATTCCTCCCACTGACACCAATGATGGGGCACTATTTCATCCACTGACACCAATGATGGGGCACTATTCCTCCCACTGATACCAATGATGGGGCACTATTCCTCCCCCACTGACACCAATGATGGGGCACTATTTCATCCACTGACACCAATGATGGGGCACTATTCCTCCCACTGACACCAATGATGGGACACTATTCCTCCCACTGACACCAATGATGGTGCCCCATCGTTAGTCAGTGGGAGGAATAGTGCCCCATCATTGGTGTCAGTGGGAGGAATAGCGCCCCATCATTGCTGTCAGTGGGAGGAATAGTGCCCCATCATTGGTGTCAGTGGGAAGAATCATGCCCCATCATTGGTATCAGTGGGAGGAATAGTGTCCCATCATTAGTGTCAGTGGGAGGAATAGTGCCCCATCATTGGTGTCAGTGGGAGGAATAGTGCCCCATCATTGGTGTCAGTGGGAGGAATAGTGCCCCATCATTGGTGTCAGTGGGAGGAATAGTGCCCCATCATTGGTGTCAGTGGGAGGAATAGTGCCCCATCATTGGTGTCAGTGGGAGGAATAGTGCCCCATCGTTGGTGTCAGTGGGAGGAATAGTGCCCCATCGTTGGTGTCAGTGGGAGGAATAGTGCCCCATCGTTGGTGTCAGTGGGGAGAATAGTGCCCCATCGTTGGTGTCAGTGGGGAGGAGGAATAGTGCCCCATTGTTGGTGTCAGTGGGAGGAATAGTGCCCCATCGTTGGTGTCAGTGGGAGGAATAGTGCCCCATCGTTGGTGTCAGTGGGAGGAATAGTGCCCCATCGTTGGTGTCAGTGGGGAGAATAGTGCCCCATCATTGGTGTCAGTGGGGAGGAGGAATAGTGCCCCATCATTGGTATCAGTGGGAGGAATAGTGCCCCATCGTTGGTGTCAGTGGAAGGAATAGTGCCCATCTATGGTGTCAGTGGAAGGAATAGT